CTTAAACCTCTACTATTACTTATTCGAGAGTTTTTTATTTTCCCATTTTCATGCCTTTCATTCTTTCAAAATATACCTTCATTACTATTTAGTTTTATCAGATGTATATATATATATATATATATATATATATATATATATATATATATATATATATATATATATATATATATATTACAACATTTAAAATACTATTAAATATAAAATAATTAAAAATACTAAAGAAAATAAGTAGAGAAGAAATAGTTAGACCAATAAATAGTGAACATAATAAAGTAAAATGAGACTGATAGAGTTCATTACAATGTTATTCAACGTGGGTAAAAGAAAGAGGGTAAAATTAGAAATAACTTATTGTACAGAAAAGTAAACACAATGCACAAACTATTAATGCATGTGATTACACCAACACATTTTTTTTATTCTTATTATTATATATTAGATTTTGATTACCTCCTTTATTGCCTTTTATATATTTTTACTTGTATTTCATATGCGCAATAGACAAAAATATATATCCAATACTAATACATAATGTTAAAATCTTAATTATATTAAAATATTTTTTTGAACAAGAGTATATAATTTTTTTTTTTTTAATTTATAGTTGTAAAATTCATAATTGATAAAGTAAGCATATCATATCATCATTAAAAGACATAATTATAATATGATTAATATTATTAAAGTAAAAATTTTAGATATGATAAATTACTAAATTACTAAATATAATTACGGTAATAATTAATTAAAAGCAATGAAATCAAACTTATTATCATTGAAGAATATATAAGAAAAGATAGTGTATGCATGTGTATGGTAATAATAATGGAAAAAGATAACAAAAGTTATAATAGTAATATATTTTTTGTTCAAAAAATTGTATAGTACAACATAATTAAAAAAATAATAATAATAATAACAAAAAACGGACATAAATCAAAGATATAACGAGTGATATTTATTATGTTTTTAGATCAGATTTAGATAGATGAGATATATTTATATATAACGATTAAAGATATATCATATTCAAAAAGGAAATCAGATATGTCTAGTGTACCCGTATTGCCATCAAAGGCAAAACAAAAATGTAGTTAATCTAATCAAGACAAACCTGCTCATAATACTACCAATGTAATTTCTCATATTTTAATGGCTTATAATTTATGTTGTATTTACAATAACATAAAGAAATAATCCACCAATAACATTGATTAACTACAACTTTAGCATAGTTCTACTATGATACTCTAACAAAGAATGGTTTTGAATGTTCTTAATTCTGTCTCTTCTAAGGGAATCTGGGTTAATTCCTGCTTTATGAGCAGCAACTACACCTATGGCTTCCCAGTAGTTTGACACCCTCACCTGGAAAATAATTTGCCAACATAATAATCAAATACTCCATAGTTGGATTCACTACTTAGAACAGCATAGATGAAAGATGGTCACAAGTTTCTTTCTTCAATTTTTATTTTTTTTTATTTTTTTATTTTTTTAACTTCAACAAAATTGTTGCTATCTTACAGTTGATGGAAATTTGAGTTTATGGGATAACCGGATATGTGGTTTAAGGACACCCACGTAAGTCACAGAGATACAGTAAGTAGAAAGAGTTGCCCAAATATCGTGTACTTACAGCTTCTATCCCGAGTCTCTCAGGCGTATCATTGAGAACAGTTTCATTCTCTTCCACAGCGATTATAAGTGGCTGCAACGAATAATACATAGAAAGTGCAGAAGAAATAAAGGAAACATAATTAGAAAATAAGCTTACCTAGGAAAAGCGGGAATTGGTCAAATGTAGCAACAGTATATTAGTGTGTTGTATAATTGCTATCTCTGGCGTAGAGCTTATTTAGTCATAAAAGATAAACGTAAGAATTGTACCCTGTTTCTTTTACTGTTTGCAAATGCAAGGGCACCATCTCCCCCGCAAGCATCAATTGGTAGAATGACACTGTCAACGTCACTGGCTGAAATGCAGTTTTTTCCTAAAATCTCAGTTCCCTTGATCAGATACTGTGGTGCAGTACCAAGCCCAGCAAGCACACATGGCAAGAAAGTATATCCTATCTGTCAGAATTCAAAGGTGGGATTCAAGATTAAAAATTTTAAAATAAAAAAGAGGTAAAGAAAAACTATGTCAATCTTACAGGAGATGAGAATAAAAAACATAACGAATTCAGTAATTGTATCTGAAGAATATCATTGTGATATTTGTCTTCGTTCTTAATTTTTTATTGGGATATTGATGGGGGCAAAACGAGTTAAGCTTATAACTACACTAAACACTGAATCTGTGGATGAAAGGCACAATCAGGCCTTAATCTAAAAGAGTTATGGACATACTGAAGGCCTTAATCTTCAGTAAAAGAGCATGTCAGACTACTTAACACCCCACCCCCCACCCCCCTCTCTTCCCCTTATGCTTGTGTATAGCAGCCTTCTTACCTCTTCAGAAACTGATTTTGGACATACTGAAGTGCTTAGTTGAGGGGGTGATAATGCAGGAGCATGTGCACAAGGAATTTGAAAATGTTTCACTACTAGATGGCTTATTACTGCCTCCACACCAGCCAAGAGATCTATTCCCTTCAGAAAGAAAAAACATATAATAAGAGGAAATAATAAGTTTATATTACTGATAAGGGTTGGGGACTTTCAATCACACCACAAAACGAGTCATTAGAAATTTAGAATAGCATAACCAGAAAAAGCTGCACTACCATATTGGTATCAGTTTTTTTATTTTTTAATAAATCCTAATTATGTCTCTTTTCCTGGTAATGATAACAGAATATCAGGCATCACTAAGGCAAGAATAAAATTAAAGTGTGCATTTGGAGAGTAAATTGTAGAGCAAAATATGTAATTCGCTAAAAAAAAGCTGCATCCTCGAACAAAAAAGAAAACCTGGTATTACTGGTGTCAAATACTCAGAAATGAGAGATGATAGTATGCCATAAAATAAAGAGCAAGAAAAAGTAAAGAAATCACAGTGTTATGAAGTTTGGTGTATCAACCATACCATCCCCTGTCGGTAATCATCTATATCTTCATCATCATCGTCTGGAAAACGTGCAACAACTGCAACTGCATTCACATCTGAACCTTTTACCAACTTCTCTACAGCCCTCAACAGGGAGTCTGGATTTTGTATCCTCCCAGTTGACTGCCCACATTTTGGGTCAACCCACTTCTCCACCTATAATAAGTGATTCTGTAGGTTAAGGGAGGCCTTCAACACTAAGGACCAATGTTCATACGCAGTGCAGAAAAACATTGGTGATACTAAGTAAAGTCAATAAAAGATCTACCGACCATGAAGTATAAAAAGTGTCACATGATTATTCAATTTTAAACAATTATACAATTGAGAGAGATGGAAATTCTCAAGTACTTTGCTCAGTTGAACTTCTTTCCTACAGCATTAGATGTTCCTAACTCCTAAGCCATTATAGTATACGTGATTTCTGAAATCATCCATATCCAACTCCACAAGTAATGAATAAAATATGGGCACACTAACTCCTACTCTGTTTCCATTTAATATGCATACCATTAAAGGGAGGTCTGTTACAGTATATTCCACAAATGAGAGACCAAGGGACGCTCTAGCCGCATCAACAACTTGTAGATGGCGAATACGAAGATCTTCTTCGATTCCAGCATCAAGAACCAATCCAACCTGATTAATGTTATGACGGTCACATCATTGCAGGCTGAATAGCAAGGAAATGGCACGGCAACATCAGCAGCCTAGTGCAAAGCATCTATCACCACCAGAACAAGTTGGACAAGAAAGAATTCAAAGCATACTCTATTTTGATGAACCGGTTCCAGTGCCCAAAGTCCTTCTGCAAGCCGATCTAAAGCATAGCCTTCAACATACAACACATTTGACATGGGCCAATACAGCATTGCAGCATTAAGAACCTGTAAGCATTACAATTTTCAAATATGTCTGTATATACACTTTAATCCTAACTGTAACTTAGAGTTCTATCTTTGCGGTTACTCCGGTTAGATTCAGGACAACTCTACCAAATGCTTCAGACGCCAGTACACTATGAATAGTAAATAGAGTGCAAATCCATTGCAATTGAACAAGTATCAAATTAAGTCAAGTCAGGGCTCACATATAGAAAAAGATCAATTGTAAGATGTGAGCCAAAAGAAATCTCACATTAGGATGAGTGATAAGGCAGTCAACAACGGAAGAAAAAGCTCTCGCCACTGGCAAAGCGTCGCCAGCATAGCCACCAATCGCCGCTCCTATTCCCGTCGGCACTATCATTACACTAGTGTACTGCCGCTTGAACTGCTCAAAAATAATTGAATCAGTACAAAAATTCAAGGCATAAAAAAGTAAAAATTTCTAATAAAAACACACACAGAAAATTCTACCTTGCTAGGAAGAGGAGAGAAAGAGCAGGAGACTCTGGTTTTGAACTTGGGAAGTGAACGGTGGCGAAGGTAGCCGTGGGCGGGCGGGGAGAATGGACAGGTGAGATTTAGTGCCGCCATTGCAACCGAGTATTCAGATTTCGCTGCTTCTTAGCTTTGCTCACTAGTATGCAGCAATGCGCCGGCGAGGAGGGCTATTTGGAATTCCTTAAAATTCATAATATATGGAAATATGGATTATGTTAGTGTAAATCTAATGGTTTCAAATGTTAGTGTAAATCTAACGAGTACAAATAGACAAATAAGATCACATTGGCCGCACTGGCAGGTAAATTGTGGTCCACGCAATTGCGTGAACCATGAATATTATGTACATTTTGAATATAGAGTAAATACCCAACATAGTCCTTCGACTATAGCTAAATTTACAAATTAATTCTTAACTTTTAATTTTAACCAATTAAGTCTTTAACTTTGCAATTTTAACATAATTTGGTCCTCTGTCTATTTGACCGTTTGTTGACTGTGATTTTTGAGGATATATATGTAATTTCATGATCCATCGTCGGGTTTTTAAGGTTCCGGTTGCATTTCCACACTGCACTGTTACATTTTAATCCACTGCCGAAAGTAATCTACAAAATCCGGTCGCCTTTCTTAATCCTCCCTTTGGATTCAATGTAGTTGAGTTCGTATCAGAGCGAAGAAGACGACGTGTTTTCGAACCGGTGCAACGTCATCCTGGAGGCCTTCACGTGCTCCGACGAGAGCTAAAGGTTCTTCTAGAGATCATCAATCACGGTCAACAAATGGTCAAATAGATGGAGGACCAAATCGTGTCAAAATTACAAAGTTAAGGACTTAATTGGTTGAAATTAAAAATTGAGAACCAATTTGTGAATTTAGCTATAGTCTATGGACATTTTAGGTATTTACTTTATTATGAATTTTTAAGGAATTCCAAATTGCCCTCCTCGCCGGCGCCATTGCTGCATACTAGTGAGCAAAGCTAAGAAGCAGCGAAATCTGAATACTCGGTTGCAATGGCGGCACTAAATCTCACCTGTCCATTCTCCCCGCCCGCCCACGGCTACCTTCGCCACCGTTCACTTCCCAAGTGCAAAACCAGAGTCTCCTGCTCTTTCTCTCCTCTTCCTAGCAAGGTAGAATTTTCCGGGTATGTTTTTATTAGAAATTTTTACATTTTTATGCCTTAAATTTTTGTACTGATTCAATTATTTTTGAGCAGTTCAAGCGGCAGTACACGAGTGTGATGATAGTGCCGACGGGAATAGGAGCGGCGATTGGTGGCTATGCCGGCGACGCTTTGCCAGTGGCGAGAGCTTTTTCTTCCGTTGTTGACTGCCTTATCACTCATCCTAATGTGAGATTTCTTTTGGCTCACATCTTACAATAGATCTTTTTCTATATGTGAGCCCTGACTTGACTTAATTTGACACTTGTTCAATTGCCATGGATTTGCACTCTATTTACTATTCATAGTACTGGCTTCTGAAGTATTTGGTAGAGTTGACATGAATCTAACAGCAAAGATAGAACTCTAAGTTACAATTAGGATTAAAGTGTATATACTGACATATTTGGTAGAGCTGTCCTGCAACTTATCTTTTCTATGTAAATTTATAATGCTTACAGGTTCTTAATGCTGCAATGCTCTACTGGCCCATGTCAAATGTGTTGTATGTTGAAGGCTATGCTTTAGATCGGTTTGCAGAAGGACTTTGGGCACTGGAACCGGTTCATCAAAATAGAGTATGCTTTGAATTCTTTCTTGTCCAACTTGTTCTGGTGGTGATAGATGCTTTGCACTAGGCTGCTGATGTTGCCGTGTCATTTCCTTGCTATTCAGCCTGCAATGATGTGACCATCATAACATTAATCAGGTTGGATTGGTTCTTGATGCTGGAATCGAAGAAGATCTTCGTATTTGCCATCTACAAGTTGTTGATGCAGCTAGAGCGTCCCTTGGTCTCTCATTTGTGGAATATACTGTAACAGACCTCCCTTTAATGGTATGCATATTAAGTGGTAACAGAGTAGGAGTTACTGTACCCATATTGTATTCCTTACTGTGGAGTTGGCTATGGATGATTTCAGAAATCACGTATACTATAATGGCTTAGGAGTTAGGAACATCTAATGTTCTAGGAAAGAAGTTCAATTGAGCAAAGTACATGAGAATTTCCATCTCTCCCAATTGTACAGTTTAAAATTGAATAATCATGTGACGCTTTTTATACTTCATGGTCGGCAGATCTTTTATTGACTTTACTTTAGTATCACCAATGTTTTACTGCACTGCTTATGAACACTGGTCCTTAGTGTTGAAGGCCTCCCTTAACCTACAGAATCACTTATTATAGGTGGAGAAGTGGGTTGACCCAAAATGTGGGCAGTCAACTGGGAGGATACAAAATCCAGACTCCCTGTTGAGGGCTGTAGAGAAGTTGGTAAAAGGTTCAGATGTGAATGCAGTTGCAGTTGTTGCACGTTTTCCAGACGATGATGATGAAGATATAGATGATTACCGACAGGGGATGGTATGGTTGATACACCAAACTTCATAACACTGTGGTTTCTTTACTTTTTCTTGCTCTTTATTTTATGAATTCTGGCATACTGTCATCTCTCGTTTCTGAGTATTCGACACCAGTAATACCAGGTTTTCTTGTTTGCTCTACCATTTATTCTCCAAATGCTCACTTTAATTTTATTCTTGCCTTAGTGATGCCTGATATTCTGTTATCATTACCAGGAAAAGAGACATAATTAGGTTTTATTATAAAAAAAAAACTGATACCAATATGGTAGTGCAACTTTTCTGGTTATGCTATTCTAAATTTCTAATGACTCGTTTTGTGGTGTGATTGAAAGTCCCTAACCCTTATTAGTAATATAAACCTATTATTTCCTCTTATTATATGCTTTTTCTTTCTGAAGGGAATAGATCTCTTGGCTGGTGTGGAGGCAGTAATAAGCCATCTAGTAGTGAAACATTTTCAAATTCCTTGTGCACATGCTCCTGCATTATCATCCCCTCAACTAAGCACTTCAGTATGTCCAAAATCAGTTTCTGAAGAGGTAAGAAGCTGCTATACACAAGCATAAGGGGAAGAGAGTGGGTGGGGGGTGGGGTGGGGTGGGGTGTTAAGTAGTCTGACATGCTCTTTTATTGAAGATTAAGGCCTTCAGTATGTCCATAGCTCTTTTAGATTAAGGCCTGATTGTGCCTTTCATTCCAAAGATCTATGTGTTTTATGATGGAAACAGATTCAGGTTTAGTGTAGTTATAAGCTTAACTCCTTTTGCCCCCATCAATAGACCAATAAAAATTTTAAGAACGAAAACAAATATCACAATGATATTCTTCAGATGCAAGCACTGAATACATTATGTTTTTTATTCTCATCTCCTGTAAGATTGACATAGTTTCTCTCTTTACTTCTTTTATTATTATTTTTTTATTTTAAAATTTTTAATCTTGAATCCCACCTTTGAATTCTGACAGATAGGATATACTTTCTTGCCATGTGTGCTTGCTGGGCTTGGTACTGCACCACAGTATCTGATCAAGGGAACTGAGATTTTAGGAAAAAACTGCATTTCAGCCAGTGACGTTGACAGTGTCATTCTACCAATTGATGCTTGCGGGGGAGATGGTGCCCTTGCATTTGCAAACAGTAAAAGAAACAGGGTACAATTCTTACGTTTATCTTTTATGACTAAATAAGCTCTACGCCAGAGATAGCAATTATACAACACACTAATATACTGTTGCTACATTTGACCAATTCCCGCTTTTCCTAGGTAAGCTTATTTTCTAATTATGTTTCCTTTATTTCTTCTGCACTTTCTATGTATTATTCGTTGCAGCCACTTATAATCGCTGTGGAAGAGAATGAAACTGTTCTCAATGATACGCCTGAGAGACTCGGGATAGAAGCTGTAAGTACACGATATTTGGGCAACTCTTTCTACTTACTGTATCTCTGTGACTTACGTGGGTGTCCTTAAACCACATATCCGGTTATCCCATAAACTCAAATTTCCATCAACTGTAAGATAGCAACAATTTTGTTGAAGTTAAAAAAATAAAAAAATAAAAAAAAATAAAAATTGAAGAAAGAAACTTGTGACCATCTTTCATCTATGCTGTTCTAAGTAGTGAATCCAACTATGGAGTATTTGATTATTATATTGGGAATTTATTTTCCAGGTGAGGGTGTCAAACTACTGGGAAGCCATAGGTGTAGTCGCTGCTCATAAAGCAGGAATTAACCCAGATTCCCTTAGAAGAGACAGAATTAAGAACATTCAAAACCATTCTTTGTTAGAGTATCATAGTAGAACTATGCTAAAGTTGTAGTTAATGTAATGTTATTGGTAGATTATTTCTTTATGTTATTGTAAATACGATATAAATTATGAGCCATTAAAATATGAGGAATTTCATTGGTAGTATCATGAGCAGGTTTGTCTTGATTAGATTAACTACATTTTTGTTTTGCCTTTGATGGCAATACGGGTACACTACTTGATATATTTGATTTCCTTGTTGAATATGATATATCTTTAATCTTTTTTTTTTTTTTTATTGGGGATGGGGGTTTAAGTTGATTTGGATATGAAGATTTGCATTTTTACGTGGATCTTAATAAGTGGAAAAAGAAGGTCGGAATTATCCCAAACCGGATGAAGGATGAGAAATTATCATTAAGACCATATTTCTAACAGCCAATTAATATAATTTTTAACAAAAGACTAAGTTGAATTAAATTTAACACAAAAAATTATTTATAACTAAATTGAGTAAAAGCACTAGTCGAGTACTATATTAGGTATTAACTTTATTTTCCAATGAAGGTATAGTATTTTTTTTTTAGGGCAAATGTATAGTATTTATTATACGGAGTAATAATGAACCACACTTTATTATGGAACACACTTTATTGTGGACCATAATGTTATACCGTGAAGCTGATCACGCGTATTTACGTATTACTGGTATTGATTCAGTTTTTATTTTTACTAGTAATTCACCCGCGCGATGCACGGGATAAAATTATGTTATTATAAATATAAATAGAAAATAGAAAAACTAAAATATTTTAAATTATTTAATATAATAATATTTTTGAGTTTCCATTGGTCAAGTATTTATTATTTTTATAGAATACAAAATTACAATTAAAATTAAAATTATAATTTCTTATGGTCAATATAATCTCTAATTATGTGCATATTCAAATAAACTTATAGAGAGAATTTACATAATTACATTGATTTATTCTTAATTGTATTTCATCTATATTATAATTTTTACAATACGAATAATAACTAAAATAATTACATTTGGAAAGCAAATTTTAAATTTTGTATGTGTAAATTTAAACTCTAATTGAACACATTTTTTATATGATTATATAATATATAGCTATTTTATTTTTCAAAAGTATATATTTTTTATATGATTATATAATATATAGCTATTTTATTTTTTAAATGTTGTGCTTTTTTTTTTATATATAATAAAGGATGTTGTGGCATTAATTGTAACATTAATTATTTCCCAAACCATATAGCTTTATTATATAAAGGATTTTATTTTTTTATTTTTATTTTTGGAGAAGTTCATTTTTTGACGTAGAAAATCACGTACGCGTATTGACTTAATGGAACGTTAGCGTGAATTTACTTACTGGAATCTCCTTATAAATTAGTTTTGTGTGTCTGTATGTTTCAGAGCAAGCTAAGGCACCCAATTTCCAGTTTCAGAATATGGCTTCTACCTCTTCCACTACGCCTTCACAATCAACTCAAAAATTCACTTATGATGTTTTCTTGAGCTTTAGAGGTGAAGATATTCGCAAAACGTTTTTGGATCATCTTAACCATCATCTCAAACACAAGGGAATTCATACCTTCAAAGATGATGAGAAATTAAAGAGGGGAGAGTGTATTGCTCCGACTCTCTTACTAGCCATTAAAGAATCAAGAATTGCAATTATCATCTTTTCCAAAAGCTATGCATCGTCAACATGGTGCTTGGATGAAGCTGCAACTATCATGGAATGCAAAGAAAAGTTCGGCCAAGTTGTGGTGCCAATTTTCTACGACGTGGAGCCTTCACATGTGCGCAACCAAACAAGAAGTTTTGCTAAATCCTTTTCAAAACACCGAAAAAATTTCAAAGATAGTAAGGGGAAGGCGAAGGTTGAAATGTGGAGGAACGCTTTGAGAGAGGCAGGAAAAATTGTAGGACACGATTTACAGGGTGATAAATACAATGGGTATGCTTTCGACGTCCTTGGCTTCTTTAGCATTTTACTCTCTATTTTTTATTTTTTACTCCGTATTTTTTTGAAATTTTATATCAAAGTAGCGCTATGAAGGTTAATACCTAGCTAGTTTTATAATTAATTCTCCCAAAACATTTTATATTATTTTTTGTTAAATCTTACACTTAGACATTTATTATATATAATTAATTTGATACATTTAAAATTAATAGTCAATATTGATATTATATTGATACATATGTTAAAATACCGAAGTGTGAAGAATTGATAGAAAAAATTAATTATATGATTACGTATTTTACTTGATTACTATATATATATATATATATATATATAAACACACAAAAACTCAATTTCCTGCAAGAAAATCTACTTCTTGAAAGATAATTCTATCACCTGGGATAATTTCACAATCCGAGAAATAAATGCAGCTTTAAAGTCAGGAAAACATGGCTATTTTAGGGAGATAAAATAACAAATAGCTGAAAAAATTGGCATTATCTAACACTCGTAGCCACAAATACCCCGTTCTTCCTTAACTGTTATTTGGCTAGTTTTAATAATTAATAATAATATACTCTTACAATTATTATAATAGTATAGAAATAAAACAGACCACCTTACCAATAAAATTGAAGTAAAGAACTAAAAAAAAGTATAGAGGGACTATTATATAATTTAAAAATTATTAAACATTAGAGATATAAATTATAAGCAGCTGAGTTTCCAAAAAAAAAAAAAAAAAAAACTACCAATGATGTGTTTGTTTTCTTTTCAGGTATGAATTAGCATGTATCCGAGGAGTTATTAATGACATATTCAAACTGCTTCCAACTCAAAGCATTCAGAAAAATTTATTGGATTTAGAGTCACAACTTAAGAACATAAGTAGCTTGATGGAAATGTCTTTTAGAGATGATGTTAAATTAATATTGGGCATTTGGGGTATGGGCGGTATAGGAAAAACAACCCTTGCAAGAGCTGTTTTCGCTCAATTATCTGAAAGATTTTATTGCTCATGTTTTCTTGCTGACATTCGAGAAAATCATAGTAAACATGGGCTGGTAGGCTTGCAAGAAAAACTCCTATCAAAACTTCTGGAAGGAAGTTCAATGCGTATAGATGATGTGGATCAAGGAATTGGGGTGATCAAGGAAAGGCTCCAATCGCGGAAAGTGTTGATTGTTCTTGATGATGTAGATCAAAAGGAGCAATTAGATAAATTAGTTGGGGATGGAGAATGGCTTTGCGAAGGTAGTTTAGTCATCATAACTACCAGAGACAAGCATTTATTCACTCAATTTGGAGTTGCCTTTGAATGTTATGAAGTAAAGAAACTGGAAAAAGAAAAAGCTCTTCAACTATTTAGTTGGCATGCTTTCAAGAAAGAATCTCCAGATGATGAATTTGTAGATCTGTCTACATCTTTTGTAACTTATGCTGCTGGTCTTCCATTAGCTCTTAAAGTCTGGGGCTCTTTTCTACGTGGACGAGACCATAAACAATGGAAAAGCACACTGGAGATGATTAAAACCATCCCAGATGAGGAGGTTATTGAGAAGCTTAAGATAAGTTTTGACGGACTTAAAGATGGAGAGAAAAGGATATTTTTGAGTATAGCATGTCTGCTTCGTAAAAAGAGTAGAGATTATGTAGAAGATGTACTTAACAGTTGTGATTTGTATCCTGGCATTGGAATATCAGTGCTAATCGAAAGATCTCTTGTGTTTGAATCAAATGGATGTATGGATATGCATGATTTGATTCAAGAAATGGGTTTGCGCATTGCAGCAAGAGAAAATCCTAGGAGGATGATATGGCAGCTTGATGACCTGTTAGATGACGTGGTAAATATAATAATATCTATCTTGTGCTTCTATACTCTTAGTCATTGAATTAGAAAAATTCATGCTATTTTCTTCTTTCAGGATCATGAAGAGATGGAAGGTGTTTTGGTCACATTCAAATACCGACGTAGCTATAATGAAAATATTAGCTGTGTCATTGAAGCTTTCAAAGGGATGAAAAAATTGAAGATACTCATAGTTAAAGGCCTTCTTGGTAAAGGCCTTCTTGGTATCGATTTTTACAGTTCAGAGTTTGAGAAAAGATTTGGTTGGAGCACTATGAATACTTATCTTCCTAGCAGTTTGAGGTGGCTTCATTTCTCATGTTATCCTTTCTTTTCATTACCCGAAAGCTTTCATCCATCAAAGCTGGTTGGGTTTCATTTACCTCATAGTTTACTCAAAACTTGCATCATAACGAAGGTAATAATTCAATTCAACTCTATTCCTTCAATTCTATCATCAAGCTATGGAGTTAATTGAGAGTTATATATTTTCTTTCTATCTTATATATCCTGCAGAACATGAACAAATTGGTTTATTTGGATCTCAGCTCTTCCCACTTTTTGTTGGAAACCCCAAACTTTCAAAGGATGCCAAATTTAGTGAGATTAGTCTTCCGACGCTGTTTGAGTTTAAAAGAAGTCCATCCATCTATTGGACGTCTTGAGAAGCTTGTTTTATTGGATTTAAGTGAATGCGGCAATCTTGAGAAGCTTCCCAGCTTCACTCAAGTCAAATCTCTAGAGTTTCTCAATCTTGGCTGTTGCCGACATTTAGAAAATTTTCCAGAGATCCAGGCAAGTATGCCATATGTACTGGAGCTGGAATTAAATTCCGTTGGGTATATTAGAGAACTCCCCTCATCCATCCAACAACTACATGGCCTCACTAAACTATGTTTGGTTGATTGTGATAATCTTGTTCAACTTCCTGGAAGCTTATGTGAGTTAAAAAATCTTAAAGTTGTTGAATTTGAAGGGTGTCCTGAATTGAAGTCCTTGCCAGAAAATTTGGGCAACTTGTCACAATTGGAAAAGCTTCATATACAGAGAACCGCCATTTCTCAACTCCCATCTTCAATCAAGCAGTTGAGTTCAATTGAATACTTATACTTTGGAGATATTATTTCTCCATGGGAATGGATCAGCTACGTCGACAGTCCCAAAGTAGTTGTACCTAGTGTATCAGGTTTGTTCTTACTAAAAATGCTCGAGCTGTGTTCCCTTTATATGTTGGACGAAGGACTCCCTCAAGATATTGGAGGCTTGTACTCGTTGGAATACTTGAATCTGAGTGGCAACAATTTTGTACATTTACCTGAAAGCATCAGTCAACTCCCTAGCCTTAAGTACCTTGACATCAGATATTGTAAGAGGCTTGAAGAGCTACCACAACTCCCACCAACTATATGGGAACTATATGCAGATATTCGTTTTGCCTTTGAAAGCAATATAGCTGAGCTATCAACCAAGTACTTGGAATTATATTCAATCTTATTCACTCATAATAATATTGGGCGCCATTTCATTCGCAAAGAATTATTAGAAAACAGGAAGCTCATTCTTTTTCCAAGGACTTTTCTTAGAAAGACTCCTCTCAGTGTTATCTATATTAATGTCGATATCAACAGATGCTTCAAATATAAATGTGATGGTGCAAGTAGGATCTCAATTGATCTTCAACCCTTCTGGTACACTCCAAATTTTCTGGGATTTGTTGTATGCTGTCTTCTCCCTTCAAATGGTATATGGGAATCACATTTGGAGCATTGTGCGGTCATAGCCAAACTGGCAAGCAATGATAATACAAGAAATGAAGCTCCCCAAACAAAGTGTGTGATCACCAACTCAGATAAGTGTAAAATATCCCATGGGGGACAACATACTTGCATTGCCTACATACCATTTAGTAGTCTGTGGAATGAATCTAAGGCTGAGAAAGATGGTGTTACTCCCAATGATTATTCTACATTTGAGGCATTTCTGGATTCTCAACTTTCAACAGATTGGGGTTGTAGTTTGTTCTATAAAGATGATGATTTGATAATTGAAGCAAAGATAGATTGCGAGGAAAGTTATTCAACATTTGAGACATTTCTGGATTCTCAAGTTTCAACAGATTGCGGTTGTAGTTTGCTCTATAAAGATGATGATTTCATAATTGAAGCAAAGATAGATTTCGAGGAAAGTGGTAAATACATTTGGCTTGAGAATTATTATTGTTTCAATGACAATACTCATTTCATCTTTCTTACCGGTGGTAGTGATTCAGTTTTTTTTTTTTTTTTCTTTTTAGAATACTAGATTAATGCTCATTTGCACCGAACTTGCACAATTAAGGGGCAAAGTGCTGCCCAGATTGATTTTTTTATACGAGAGGGAGGTTTGAACTCCCAACTTCTTAAAGAATGAGAGTGCACGGCCACTCACGCCAACTAAGCTGGTTAGTGATTCAAGTACTAATACTCTTTACCCATTACTTCATTCCGTATCATATTATCAAATGCTTTAATTTGATTGAGGAACCATATATATATATATATATATATATATATATATATATATATATATATATAGGGTGGGGTTCAAGTGAGGATAGGGCCTTAGGTGAGGATTGTGGATTAATGAGATCCATTGGATGGGACAATCCAACGGAACAGATTGCACAAAAGGGGAAATTAAAAACCTTGTAAATAAGTTAGTAACGGTAGAAGTCATTAAGAATTTAAGATTGGGGGTAAAAGGGTAATTCAGAAATTGAATGTGCATTAATAAGAAAGGAAGGGAGCGAATTACTCGTGAAGACTAGCGGGCTTAGGGTTAAAACATCGGATGTGTAGGTGAGGTGTCGGCATTACACAACTGAGCAAAAATCGATTGCAAAAACGAAGAAGCCGTGAAGACTAGCAGGCTACTACACCATCGGAAGCTATGGCCGACGCAACACCTCGGAGAAGTCAACGGCATGCGTCCATGATAGCGACGAGTAGAATCTGTAAGAATATGTTAATTTTTATTATTAATTTTTTTTTTATTGAATGCCTGTAATATGAGATTGAATGTTTGTGGAATTGCATGTTTGTTGTCATTGCTGTAATATGAGATCGAAAGCGTGCCGGAACCGTCACCAGGAAATTTACGCTTTTAAGGTACTGTTTTCATAAACACGGCACAGAGTTCTATTTCCAATCTGTTTCGAATTCCTATTCGTGTTCTTCGTCGCACACCATCTTCCTGTTCCGGCTTCACGTGGCATTGTTTCAGCACAAATTACCCAACAGTTAAAAGCGTAAACCTCCCTGAAACAATGTCGTCTATTGCTGCGGTGTTTGTGGATACTACATAAGCAAGCAAGCAGGCAGAAGAAGAGTATTCCTCCAACTTTATTAGTGTTTCTTGTCTTCTTATTTGATACAGAAAACCTTTCGCAGTCTAAGGAACAAGAAAGTGAAAAACATGCATATTCCAAAATCCGATTGCATCGCTGATGCATATTCGCTGTTGCTGCTGCCATCAAGACACTGCTGCCACTGCCAGAATTTTGTTGTTAACTGCCATGGCTTCTATGGTGATCAAGATTCGCAAATGCCGCAAACTCCAACTTACGATGTTGCAGCTGCTCAACCGTCGGATCTCCGCATCGTAGCACATCTAGTTGGCGTGTTGGCTGCATATTCTGTTCACGCAGATTTCATCCACCTTCTTCAGGTTCCAGTACAATTAAGCTTGGGAATATGAAGTGTTGTGCTGATCAAAGTAGAGACTATGTTGTCTTCCTTGATTGCCAACTTCAACGTCATAACCTCAGAGGCCATTATGTTGTCTAAGCTAAGTATTATGCATTTATGCCAATGCTTTAATTTACATTTAATTACTCTGTCAAGGCATATGAGGCTTGGTAAATATAATAATAATAATAATAATAATAATAATAATAATAATAATAATAATAATGGTTTAAATTCAAATCACAACACATGCATGCACCCATCATCACTAGAAGTACAGTGTTATCTGGCAATTGTGCATTGCAAAAGAAGATTTGGATAACTAAGAGGTGATGCATGATAAGTTGCAATTTTTAGAATATTTTATGACTTAGTTCTTGAGGTAATGCTTTATATATTACATATATCTCCTTAATTTATGTGGTTTTAAGTTCTTGAATTTTAAATGCAAGAAATTATAATTATGGTGATATATATGTAGGTGCGTGAAAATAAAGTATTATCGTGAATATTTTTTTCCAAATGGAAATCACATGTTATTTAAATTAACATGGGAGGAAAAAATAAAAAATAAAAAATAAAAAATTGGAGATATGAGAGAATTGGGGATATGAGATACATTATGCATATATGTTATTGTCACATGACTTTAGAAATATGAAGCATGTACTTGATTTATTTTATAATAATGGTTACAAGCACATATCAAAGGCTAGTTTAAATTGTTGAAATTAGTAACCAATTTGGTTGAAATATATTCAACTATTGAGTATGTATCAAGCAAAGTGAGAAGCTACTATAATTCTCCACAAAGCAAATCGGCAAAACTTAGTTTACAAATAAGCTAATGCTGGGCACCAAAGATTAGTCTGGGTAAGAGATCAAATACATTTGATAAAAATGTTTGTAAGTGTTGCATTGTGGGGGTGATTAACTTCTTATATTTTCATCGGAAGTTTTTATGTGGTATTGAGAATAATGATGAAAGAGAATGTTTCATGTTAAGCATGAAAATCTCAAGGAATTATTTGCGAGTAAACGAAATACTCGTCAAAGTGCATGTAAGTTTGATCAAGAGAATCAACTTACTTGAAGGCTAATTATGAGGATTAGTCGTTGAATCATTGGAAGGACTTAAAGTCCAAGTGGTAATGAATTCGTGGTGGGTCCCACTTTTGTGGTCAAACGAAGCCATGAAAAGAATTACAAAGTAGTACACTAGTTGGTCATTCCGACAATGTGTGTACTTGTGAGGCTGAGCTACAACTCTTAATGAATTCATAATTCTTTGAGAAGGGTGGTTTTGTTGAGACAAACCTAATGAATTCACCGCATAATGACTTGAGTACAAAAGTGCTCTTAGTGACTTATACTCAATTGGGTGGTCTATTTTCAAGTAGACCTAAAGAGATCCCTGGCTTGAGTGAGAAAGGGCTAACCGCCTCTTATGAAATATAATGAGGGGGTATCCCAAAAAGCTGAGTGGCTAAGAAATTCATTGGCAGACGTGTCATTGTGGGGGTGTCCAACACCGTCGTGCCTATACATTGTGATTCCCAAACTGCCATTTGTGTGGCAAAGAATAGTGTCTACAATGGGAAAAGATGACACATAAGAGTTAGACATGAGTCTGTACGACAGTTAATACTAAACGGGGTCATCACAATGGAATTTGTGAGATATGGGAGGAATATAGCAGATCCTCTCACAAAAGTTTAAATTGGAAGGTCATCCTTGAATCATCAAGGGAGATGGGTTTAAAACCTTTGAGGTAAGAAATTCATGATAGACACCAATATGATGGTCAAACGAAATCATGGAAAGACTTACATCTAGTTTTTGGAAATAAATAGTCATAATTCACTCTGTAGCCTGTAATAGGTGGTCTATGTTGAGATAGACTTGACAGAGGTAGAGTCTATATTGAGATAGACTTGATGAAACTTGAAAAGTCTATATTGAGATAGACATGACGAGAATTTTGTGAAAGTTAAAAAGTCTATATTGAGATAGACATGACGACGGGGATTTTGTGAAAGTTGATGTATGCATTAGAGTTCAAAATTTCTCTGACCAATGAGTTCAAGATTCATATCACTCTTGGGAAGAAAATTACTCGGTGTCACTACATGTTAGTTCAAGATCTCATTCACTAACATTAAGGTCAACTTATGTGAATTGCTCAAACATTCCTTTATTAGCCTTCCTTTGAATGGGTGGGGGATTGTTGGAAACCATTCAAAGAAGCTTATTTATCCTCCTATTATTTTGGATTTGTCTGAAATGTTCTCTGCCTTGTCCGCAAATAAAAGAGACGTGGCTTCATTCTTGATCCACTCTCCCTAATATTGCGTTAAGTATGTGGTCTGCGAGGAAGGTTGTTGAAGCTTTATATACTATAAATAATTCCTCCCAGATTGAGCAAATAGACGATGACAGCCTCTTCTTCATTCATTCATGGCTTTGTGTTTTCATGTTTGAGCATAACACTACATCTGTGTAGCCTGTCGAAAGCGTGCCGGAACCGTCACCGGGAAATTTACGCTTTTAAGGTAGTGTTTTCATAAACACGGCACAGAGTTCTATTTCCAATCTGTTTCAAATTCTTATTCGTGTTCTTCGTCGCACACCATCTTCCTGTTCCGGCTTCACGTGGCATTGTTTCAGCACAAATTACCCAACATATATATATATATATATATATATATATATATATATATATATATATTCAATCAGTTTATCTAATTATGAAGTGTGTAAATACTTAGACATATGTTCTGTGATAATTTCTGAGTTGGATTCAAATTATGAAAGTTGATGAATTTAGAAAGGGATTTTGAATGAATATTGAACACACATTTCATCACGCTGGTGTAAATGCTTGGACGACATATATATGTTCTGTGATCATTGAGGTGAGTGTGTCACTTTGGTTCTAAGTCGTAACAATAAATTCATACTTAATTATGGCTTTTATATGATTGATGGGCACTGGGCAGAGCATGCAAAAGCTTCCTCAGCTCTATCCATTTTGTGGTGGATACCATGCTTAGCAGCTTCCTACCAAAACTCTATATAGTATCTTCTTACTTTAATTCCTACCATGCTTATTATTTGTAAAGTGGTTGTCCCTTTGCAAAGCGATTATACCTCAAACTTCTACTTTAATTGTCCATTTTATTGACTTCTTTGCAAGGAGGTGAGTCTAAAGTTGAACTGTGCCTCTCTTTTGTTCCAAGGACATGGCAGGTTCACTTTCAGTCATCCACTAACGGGTGCAGTGTTTGAAAAATGACTTATCAATTAAAGTTTAACTTGTATGATTAACTTTAAATGTTTGATAATCAGTCAAACAATTAATTTGAGTGTTTGATAAACAACTTTTTAATTTGATTTATTGATATCAATAATAAGTTGAAAATAAAAATGACACTTTTTAATATATCTAATTGGGTTAAGTGTTATGTTAAATTATTATTAATATCTTACGTTTATTCTATTCTTATTTTGATTTTATATTTTTAATATTGAATTATTATTAACTATGAAGTATTCCTTTATACTTATAACGTTATTAATAATAAAGCACAAAATAGTAATAAAAAATAACAAATAACAACAATAGTTATATTGTAAAAATAAGAGTAAATATCTAAAATGGTTCCTCAACTATAGCTAAATTCATAAATTGGTCCTCGACTTTTAATTTTAACCAATTAAGTCCTTAACTTTGTAATTTTAACACAATTTGGTCCTTCGAACACTTCTGCATTAACGCTGGTGCCTGCGCCGTCATCGACGATCTCCAGAAGAACCCGCAGCTCTCACCAGAGCACATGGAGGCCTCCAGGATGACGCTGCACCGGTTCGGAAACACGATGTCTTCTTCACTCTGGTACGAACTCAACTACATTGAATCCAAAGGGAGGATGAAAAAAGGCAACAGGATTTGGCAGATTGCTTTCGGCGATGGATTCAAATGTAATAGTGTGGTCTAAAAATGCAACCGGAACCTTAAAAAATCGACGATGGACCATGAAATTACATATATATCCTCAAAAATCACAGTCAACAAATGGTCAAATAGACGGAGGACCAAATCGTGTTAAAATTGCAAAGTTAAGGACTTAATTGGTTAAAATTGAAAGTCAATGATCAATTTGTGAATTTAGTTATAGTCGAGGGACCATTTTGGGTATTTACTCTTCATAATATATGAATTGTGTTACTGTAAATATAACGAGTACAAATAGTTCTAGATATTTAAATTGGGCCGAGCCCCGTGCACTATATAATTGGGCTGTCTAAAAAGAGTCGTTTGTTTCATTGATGTAGATATCCATGGCAAATTATATCGTGCACCGCGGTGCATAATCAATTATGCACTGCACGTCCAGTCGTTATATTATAGACCGCGGTGCATGTGCACCGCGGTCAAAAACGACGCCGTTTCTTTAAGTAAAGAAACGGCCTGCCGTTAGAGTTAACGGAGTCCGTTTGTTTGGTGTATTAAACACCAATTGACACTACAGTATATCCAAACCGACACTGCAGTTATATCAAAATGATACTGTAGTTATAGTGAAATGAAACTGCAGTGTATATAAACTGAAACTGAATAACATTTCACATATTTGAGTGTATATTATACAATGAAGCTGTAATTATATCAAAATGATCATGTAGTTGTGTTTTAATGAAACTATAGTGTATATAAAATAAAATTAAATAACATTTTCACATATTTGAGTCTATAAATATCGAATGAAACTATAGTTATATCGAAATGAAACTGTAGTTGTGTTCAACTGAAACTGCAGTTCATACAAAATGACACTGAATAACAGAGTTACTTTTTGCAAAAGGGTGCGAAACGGCGGAAATAAACACTGTTAATTTTCATTTAAAAAAAAGACGCGCGGTGCATAATATAATTTGCCCTGCACGTCTAAACGTTGTCGTTTTATTTAATGAAAAAAAAAAAAACGTCATCTGTTTTGCGCCGTTCCGTGCCATTATGAAAAAAGTAATTTTGTTATTCAGTTTCATTTCGATATAACTACAGTTTCATTTCAATATAACTACAGTTTCATTCGATATTATAACACCCAAATATGTGAAAATGTTATTTAATTTTATTTTATATACATCATAGTTTCATTAAAACACAACTACATGATCATTTCGATATAACTACAGCTTCATTACACAATATATACTTAAAAATGTGAAATGTTATTCAGTTTCATTTTATATACACTGCAGTTTCATTTCAACACACCTACAGTTTCATTTCAGTTTCAGTTGAAAATATAAAAATAATACGTGAGACAGTGTCAGTTTAGATATACTATAGTTTCATTTCAACACACACTACTACAAAATTGAGCATAAATATTAGACCTTAGCATCTGTTATTTGAAAAATAGATGTTAAAACACGCGCGGTGGCAGTTTCGTAATATTTTAAACAGCAATTAGCATCTATTGTTAAAAAGAACTGATGTTAAAAGTGTAATTTTAATCTTTTAGCGTCTGTTCGCGTCCATCTTGAAGTCAACCGGACGCTAGAAGGGCCACCAAATCTAATAAATTAATTAATTTTGTTAAAACAAAAAAAAAAGTAAATATTAAAAAAAAAAAAAAAAACACTAAGAGTCCACAGATTTAGCTCCACAGATCTACAAGAAGTCGAGAACCCACCCTTAGCTCCACAGATCTACGAGACATCTGTGACCATCTACCAGTGACAACCATCGTCTTCTCCACAGATCTACAAGAGCCAACTTTCAATTTCACAGATCTACGAGACCATGGGAGAATAGGCTGGATGTGTAGTAGTACAGTGTATAATTCTACAAGAATTTTATTTGTAATTACTCTGTCCAACTACAATTTCACTTCAATTAAATTGCAGTTTCAGTTGATAATATATAAAATAATACGTGAGGCAGTATCGATTTAAATACACTGTAGTGTCAATTGATAATTAATACACCAAATATGCGCACTCCGTTAACTGTAATGGCACGCCGTTTCTTTACTTAAAAAAATGGTACCATTTTGACCGCGGTGCACGATATAACGATTGGACATCCATCCATTAGGTCGCCAAGTAATCCATATGCTAATTGATGAATAATCGCAGTACATTTTTTAATAAGTGGTTAGAAATCTGATTATTCTACCAGTATCTATTCTTTGTGATGGATAAATATCTTTTGTGTCAATGATCACATCAAATCAATTAGAGTTAATACTTCAAATATTATACCATGAATCAGGGTCCACTTTACAAGTTAGACTCCAATTTTAAATTGTGTATTTTTAATATTCAAATTGTGAACTTTTAAAATATAAATTATATTTTTTTAAATTTTGAGAATTTGTGAATACAATAAAGGATCATCACAAATTGTAAATTTTAAAACAGTAACTTATGAACATTTAGTATTACCCGAATTCACCGAATAATTTGCCTTAATACTTGGGTTTAAAAGCTTTCATTTATATTATTAATTTTTGATAATAGATTTCATGTTGGTTTATTCTTGAATTTAATTTTTAACATTTTATTTTATTTCTATTTTAATTAAAATCATCTATTTGCTTAGTGAAATTTTACCTAAGAATTGAAATTAATAATTAACTCAAAATTCACTGAGAGATCGACCTTAACTTATATATCTATCTATAGGTCATTTGGTATAAAGCAACACGCATCACTATTTCATTCAAAAAGAGTTAATTCCCTTTTTTTTTGTCCCACTTTTTCAATGGGATGTACTCTTTGATCCCTCAACAGAAAAAAATAAAAATAAAAAGTAAATGGACATTACTTATTGTAGCACTGTCATTTTTTATCCTCCATCAAAAAAGTTGTTAGTTTGTGGTCTAAACTCTAGGAGTGTCTGACAATTAGCTTATAAATGATTGGTTTAATTGGTAATTGATAATTGATTATATTAGTTGTTTTAACCAGATAGTTAAAATATGTTTGGTAAATTAACTACTTATTTTTAGTTAATTACATGTAAAATAACATATAAGGACACAAGTATATTTTGTTATCTACTTAACTATTAAATTAATTTTACAGTGTTTTCAAAAAAAAAAAAAAAAAAATTTACAGTATAACTATTGTTGTTATTAATTAATTGTTATTATTATTTTGTATTTTATTATTAATAATGTTATTTTTTTGAAAGCAAACCAAGGAAGCATATATTAAAGCAAAGCAGAAATAGCGAGTCCCAATACATATAGTTCGCAAGGAAGAAGCTAAAGAGTGCGCAAGTACATTAGTCGATCTCAGCACTAAGCTAATGCATAAATATGTAAAAGAAGGCAAAGCCTGACGTCGTTGATTGCAATTCCGGCATATGACCGAATGCTGGTGATGGATGATAAAGAACACCGGAGCTCCGAGCAATCGGTGAAGAGATTTACAGATAATATATCACGCTCCTTAAGTCAAGATAGCGCTTCCCGACAGGCGAGGGCCTCGGCCATGAGCGGTGAGAAGCACCGGGGGAGACGTCAGCAAACCGCAGCCAAAAACGCTCCATTTGAAGTGAGAAAAACTGCTGCGAAAGAGGCATGCATCCCCCGAGTCCGGGCGATAACCGGCGTCGATGGAGGGAGGGAGGCCGGTTGCTGCACAAGCGGACCAAGTGCTGCTGGCAACGCCGTCGAGCGGTGATGGACCCTGCTGCCATTGTAGCAGTGCTGATGAAGCTTGTCGCCAAACTTTCTTCGGGGATGGCAGGTTCCGCTCCCACACGGCCAGATTTCAGGATCTCCAGAGATGGTATAAAACTGCCATATCCAGAGATTTTCAAAGTGTATGGTTCACTCGTTACCTGAGATTTTCATGTCTGGTTCTCTCGTTATGGTTCTCATGTCAAATGTTTGTTTGCCTAGGCAAACCAACACCAGTCACTCGTTAACCAGACAAGCTCACACCTACACACCAGTCACTCGTTACCTGAGATTTTCATGTCCGGTTCTTTCAAAGTGTATGGTTCACTCATTACCTGAGATGTTGATCGAGACCCAGACAAGCTCTGCACAGTCTGTTTTCCTGTAGTTGTCCCAGAAAACTTGAAGAGAACGACACGAATCAATGACATAACCCACCTTGGGTATTGTAACTGAAGATTCTGCAATATTTGTAGCCAATATTACCTGTAACAATGTTGTGGAACAGAAAGAAATCAATTGCACGGAAGGTTGCAAAAAATCAGTTGAAGGGGAGTTAAATTACGGCATCCAGCTTTAGTACCTCAATATCATAAAAAAGTACAGAATTGAGAGAGGAAGGAGAAAGGTTATGAAATTATAATTTTGTCCTCAACTTTAATGGTCAACAAACAGTCAAATTAACATAGGACTAAATTAGGTAAAGATTACAGAGTTGAGGACTTAATTAGGTAAGAATAATAGTCAAGGACCAAATTGGTAATTATGACATAATCGAGAGACCATTTTGATTATTAATTCTATTAAAAAGTGTCATTTTTATTTTCAACTTATTATTGATATCAATAAGCCGAGTTAAAAATTTATTTATTAAACATTCAGATTAATTGTTTGACTAATCAAATGTTTAAGTTAGTCATACAAGTCAAACTTTAATTGATAAGTCATTTTTCAAACACCCGTTAGTGGATGACTGAAAGTGAACCTGCCATGTCTCTTGAACAAAAGAGAGGCCCAGTTGAACTTTAGACTCATCCCTTTGCAAAGAAGTCAATAAATTGGAAAAGAAGAAGTTTGTGGTGTTTGCAAAAAAAAAAAGAAGTTTGTGGTATAATCGCTTTGCAAAGGGACAACCGCTTTACAAATAAGCATGGTAGGAATTAAAGTGAGAAGATACTATTATAAAGTTTTGGCAAGAAGCTGATAAGCATGGTGAAATCTGTGTTCAATATTCATTCAAAATCCCTTTCTAAATTCATCAACTTTCATAATTTAAATCCAACTCAGAAATTATCACAGAACATATGTCCAAGCATTTACACTCTTCATAATTAGATAAACTGATTGAATATATGGTTCCTCAATCAAATTAAAGTATTGATAATATAATACTATACGGAATAATGTAATGGGTAAAGAGTATTAGAACCTGAATCACTACCACCGGGACAAGCTAGCCGCTACAAATTATTTAGAGCTGAAAAAAAAAAAAAAAAAAAATTAAATCACAGAGATAAAATATAGGGAAGAATAAGAAAAAGACGAAATGAATATTGTAATTGAAACAATTACAATTTCAAGCGAAATCTATTTATGTACCGAGAACTGACCGATTCAATAATCAAATCATCATCTTTATAGAACAAACTACAACCCCAATCTGTTGAATGTTGAGAATCCAGAAATGCCTCAAATGTTGAATAATCATTGGGAGTAACACCATCTTTCTCAGCCTTAGATTCATTCCACAGACTACTAAATGGTATGTAGGCAATGCAAGTACTTCGCCACATAAAGGATCTTTTATACTTATCTGACTTGGTGATCACACACTTTGTTTGGGGAGCTTCATTTCTTCTATTATCATTGCTTGCCAGTTTGGCTATGACCGCACAACGTTCCATATGTGGTTTCCATATACCTCTTAAAGGGAGAAGACAGCATACAACAAATCCCAGAAAATTTGGAGTGTACCAGAAGGGTTGAAGATCAATTGAGATCCTACTTGCGCCATCACATTTATATTTGAAGCATCTGTTGATATCGTTATGATAGATAACACTGAGAGGAGTCTTTCTAAGAAAAATCCTTGAAAAAAGGCTGAGCTTCCTGTTTTCTGATGATTCCAGCATGTCTGATGCTTCTGGCATGTATGATGGTTCTGAAGAAAAATGGACAACCCCAAAATTATGAGTGAATGTGATTGAATATAATTCCAAGCATTTGGTTGATAGCTCAGCTATATTGCTTTCAAAGGCAAAACGAATATCTGCATATAATTCCCATATAGTTGGTGGGAGTTGTGGTAGCTCTTCAAGCCTCGTACAATATCTGATGTCAAGGTATTTAAGCCGAGGGAGTTGACTGATGCTTTCAGGTAAATGTACAAAATCGTTGTAACTCAGATTCAAGTATTCCAAAGAGTACAAGCATCCAATATCTTGAGGGAGTCCTTCGTCCAACATCAAAAGGGAACACAGCTCGAGCATTTTTAGTAAGAACAAACATGATACACTAGGTACAACTACTTTGGGACTGTAGCTGATCCATTCCCATGGAGAAATAATATCTCCAAAGTATAAGTATTCAATTGAACTCAACTGCTTGATTGAAGATGGGAGTTGAGAAATGGCGGTTCTCTGTATATGAAGCTTTTCCAATTGTGACAAGTTGCCCAAATTTTCTGGCAAGGACTTCAATTCAGGACATCCTTCAAATTCAACAACTTTAAGATTTTTTAACTCACATAAGCTTTCAGGAAGTTGAAAAAGATAATGACAATCAACCAAACGTAGTTTAGTGAGGCCATGTAGTTGTTGGATGGATGAGGGGAGTTCTCTAATCCTGGATTCTAATTCCAGCTCCAGTAGATATGGCATACTTGCCTGGATCTCTGGAAAATTTTCTAATTTCCGGCAAAAGCCAAGATTGAGAAACTCCAGAGATTTGACTTGAGTGAAGCTGGGAAGCTTCTTAAGATTGCCGCATTTACTTAAATCCAATAAAACAAGCTTCTCAAGACGTCCAATAGATGGATGGACTTCTTTTAAATTGATACAGTCTCGGAAGACTAATCTCACTAAATTTGGCATCATTAGAAAGTTTGGGGTTTCCAACAAAAAGTGGGAAGAGCTGAGATCCAAATAAACCAATTTGTTCATGTTCTGCAGGATATATAAGATTGAAAGAAAATATATATGTCTCAAATCCATAGCTCGATGATAGAAGGAAGAGAGTTGAATTGAATTACCTTTGTTATGATGCAAGTTCTGAGTGAACTATGAGGTAAATGAAACCCAGCCAGATTTGATGGATGAAAGCTTTCGGGTAATGAAAAGAAAGGATAACATGAGAAATGAAGCCACCTCAAACTGCTAGGAAGATAATTATCCACAGTGTTCCAACCAAATCTTTCCTCAAACTCTGAACTGTAAAAATCGATACCAAACAGGCCTTTAACTATGAGTATCTTCAATTTTTTCATCCCTTTGAAAGCTTCAATGACACAGCTAATATTATTATAGCTACGTCGGTATTTGAATGTGACCAAAACACCTTCCATCTCTTCATGATCCTGAAAGAAGAAAATAGCATGAATTTTTCAAATTCAATGACTAAGAGTATAAAAGCACAAGATAGATATTATTATATTTACCACGTCATCTAACAGGTCATCAAGCTGCCATATCATCCTCCTAGGATTTTCTCTTGCAATGCGCAAACCCATTTCTTGAATCAAATCATGCATATCTATACATCCATTTGATTCAAACACAAGAGATCTTTCGATTAGCACTGATATTCCAATGCCAGGAAACAAATCACAACTCTTAAGTACATCTTCTACATAATCTCTACTCTTTTTACGAAACAGACATGCTATACTCAAAAATATCCTTTTCTCTCCATCTTTAAGCCCATCAAAACTTATCTTAAGCTTCTCAATAACCTCCTCATCTGGGATGGTTTTAATCATCTCCAGCGTACTTTCCCACTGTTTATGGTTTCGTCCACGTAGAAAAGAGCCCCAGACTTTAAGAGCTAATGGAAGACCAGCAGCGTAAGTTACAAAAGATGTAGACAAATCTACAAATCCATCATCTGGAGATTCTTTCTTGAAAGCATGCCAACTAAATAGTTGAAGAGCTTTTTCTTTTTCCAGTTTCTTTACTTCATAACATTTATAGGCAACTCCAAATTGGGTGAGTAAATGTTTGTCTCTGGTAGTTATGATGACTAAACTACCTTTGTGAAGCCATTCACCGTCTCCAACTAATTTATCCAATTGCTCCTCTTGATCTACATCATCAAGAACAATCAATACTTTCTGCAATTGGAGCCTTTCCTTGATCACCCAAATTCCTTTATCCGCGTCCTCTATATGCACTGAACTTCCCTCCAGATGTTCTGATAGGAGTTTCTTTTGCAAGGCTACCAGTCCATGTTTACTATAATTTTCTCGAATGTCAGCAAGAAAACATGCGCAATCAAATCTTTCAGATAATTGAGCAAAAACAACTCTTGCAAGAGTTGTTTTCCCTATACCGCCCATACCCCAAATGCCCAATATTAATTTAACATCATCTCTAAAAGACATTTCCATCAAGCTATTTATGTTCTTAAGTTGTGACTCTAAATCCACTAAATTTTTCTGAATGCTTTGGGTTGGAAGCAGTTTGAATATGTCATTAATAACTCCTTGAATACATGCTAATTCATACCTGAAAAGAAAACAAACACATCATTGGTAGTTTTTATTTTTTGGAAACTCAACTGCTTATAATTTATATCTCCAATGTTTAATAATTTTTAAATTATATAATAGTCCCTCTATACTTTTTTTTAGTTCTTTACTTCAATTTTATTGGTAAGGTGGTCTGTTTTATTTCTATACTATTATAATAATTGTAAGAGTATATTATTATTAATTATTAAAACTAGCAAAATAACAGTTAGAGGAAGAACGGGGTATTTGTGGCCATGTTTTAATTTGTGGCTACGAGTGTTAGATAATGCCAATTCTTTCAGCTATTTGTTATTTTATCTCCCTAAAATAGCCATGTTTTCCTGACTTTAAAGCTGCATTTATTTTGTCGGACTGTGAAATTACCCCAGGTGATAGAATTATCTTTCAAGAAGTAGATTTTCTTGCAGGAAATTGAGTTTTTGTGTGTTTGTGTGTGTGTGTGTGTGTGTATATATATATATATATATATATATATATATATATATATATATATATATATATATATATATATAGTAGTCGAGTAAAATACGTAATCATATAATTAATTTTTTCTATCAATTCTTCACACTTCGGTATTTTAACATATGTATCAATATTGACTATTAATTTTAAATGTATCAAATTAATTATATATAATAAATGTCTAAGAGTAAGATTTAACAAAAAATAATATAAAATGTTTTGGGAGAATTAATTATAAAACTAGCTAGGTATTAACCTTCATAGCGCTACTTTCATATAAAATTTCAAAAAATAATAAAATAAAATAAAAAAAAAAAAATAGAGTAAAATGCTAAAGAAGCCAAGGACGTCGAAAGCATACCCGTTGTATTTATCACCCTGTAAATCGTGCCCTACAATTTTTCCTGCCTCTCTCAAAGCGTTCTGTTAGAGATAAGAACAAAGGTATTTTTGATAGACTAGAAACTAAAGAAAAGAAATAGGAAGTCACAAGACTTCCCCCAACAGGAGTTTTAGGCTCTTGCCCCACAAGAGTTTTAGGCTCTTGCCTAGCTACTAAAGCTTAAAGACTATGGAAGATTATTGGATGATTTACTCTCATCTAGAGATTCTAATTTATAGTGCTAGGAAATAAATAATTATAGAAAGGAGATGATTGTGGAGATGATTGTTGAGATGATTATGCCTCTATCTATTTTTGTCAAAATCCCTTGAGTTAAGCCTTCCTTGTATATTCTGATTTGCCTGATTTGCATCCTTCCTTTTTTTCTGAGTAAACCATCTCTTATTTTGGGTGCGTATCATTGCCACCCACCAAAGAAACAGCCTTGTCCCCAAGGCTAGATTGGAAAGACTGCCCTATATTGTCCGGTGTCGATTTGGTCAGTTACACCAGGCTCGTCACTCGTGTCGTCCTCGTCATCCTCTGCTGCAATTAGAGTTTGCAAGGATTTATTCGGGCATACATGAAGCGGACTGTACGGTTGCTGACAACGGAAACAAAGTCCTTTGGCGCGCATGTCCAGATACTCTTTGTTAGAATAATGTCGTGCCGGAGCTCGTGATGTTGATGTGCTGGAATTGCGTACTGAAGACTGCATAGCAGGAAACACAGGTTGTGTTTGGGAGGGGAAGGAAGATGTTTGATTGCTGCCAGAAAATTGAGACTGGGTTGGAATGGGTTTGGGCTGTGAATAATTCAAAATAGAATTGGTTTGGGAATTCTTCCCATGCCCATTAGACCAAGTAGACCCACTATGTGAATGAATTATCTGGAGCGCTGCATTTTCGTCTTTCAGACTGCGTCCAAGGAGCCGGCTTGTGGAGAGAAATTCAATTTCTCGTTCTGCCGCGCGAGCGACACGCATCGCTGTTCGGAGATCTGTCACATCATTCGGTCGGAGCCGCACCCGAATTGCAGGTTTCAAGCCGTTGAGAAAAAGCCCTAATTGAATGTGAGGAGCAAGTCCAGGAATTTGGGCAATGCGAGCTCGAAACGCAGCGATGAATTCATCCACCAAGCCCGTTTGACGAAGAGCGGCAAGCTGTTCAAACGGTGGCCCAGGCAATTCGTCGCCAAATTCTTCCAAAAGGTCATGTGTGAATTGAGTCCAAGTAAGAGTGGGTTGTTGTTGTTGTAGCCATCGGAGCCAATGTAGAGCTGCCCCCTCCATACTAACGAAAGCTGTTGGGACCTTCAAATCCTCTCGGGTGTGATGAATGGCAAAGTACTGCTCCACTCTAGCTAACCACCCAATTGGATCGGTGCCTTCAAATGTAGGGAGTTCTGTTTTTCCAATGGGCAGCGAGGTGTTGTCCGGCTGAACATGTTCTGGGAGAGAGGTTGAATTCGGCGTTGGGATGGAAGTTGATGAAGCACTGGCATTGTTGTGCCCTCCGCCTTGGAAGGAGAGAGCGATGAGATCAGACATCCTAGCCACAGAAGCTTCTACGGCTGCAAATCGATCGGTCAATGTAGTGAATTCAGTACGCAGTGCATCTTGGTTCTTCTCTAACGTCTCTATGCGGGAATCACGTGTGTTCGCCATTCAACGGCAGGTCGGACCAATTTGTTAGAGATAAGAACAAAGGTATTTTTGATAGACTAGAAACTAAAGAAAAGAAATAGGAAGTCACAAGACTTCCCCCAACAAGAGTTTTAGGCTCTTGCCCCACAAGAGTTTTAGGCTCTTGCCTAGCTACTAAAGCTTAAAGACTATGGAAGATTATTGGATGATTTACTCTCATCTAGAGATTCTAATTTATAGTGCTAGGAAATAAATAATTATAGAAAGGAGATAATTGTGGAGATGATTGTTGAGATGATTATGCCTCTATCTATTTTTGTCAAAATCCCTTGAGTTAAGCCTTCCTTGTATATTCTGATTTGCCTGATTTGCATCCTTCCTTTTTTTCTGAGTAAACCATCTCTTATTTTGGGTGCGTATCACGTTCCTCCACATTTCAACCTTTGCCTTCCCCTTACCATCTTTGAAATTTTTTCGGTGTTTTGCAAAGGATTTAGCAAAACTTCTTGTTTGCTTGCGCACATGTGAAGGCTCCACGTCATAGAAAATTGGCACCACAACTTGGCCGAACTTTTCTTTGCATTCCATGATGGTTGCAGCTTCATCCAAGCACCATGTTGACGATGCATAGTTTTTGGAAAAGATGATAACTGCAATTCTTGATTCTTTAATGGCTAATAACAGAGCCGGAGCAATACACTCTCCCCTCTTTAATTTCTCATCATCTTTGAAGGTATGAATTCCCTTCTGTTTGAGATGATGGTTAAGATGATCCAAAAAAGTTTTGCGAATATCTTCACCTCTAAAGCTCAAGAAAACATCATAAGTGAATTTGTGAGTTGATTGTGAAGGCGTAGCGGAAGAGGTAGAAGCCATATTCTGAAACTGGAAATTGGGTGCCTTGCTCTGAAACATACAGACACAGAATTACTGATATGGAGATTCCAGTAAGTAAATACGCGTGACTTAATTGGTCTAACATTGTCAATACGCGTGATTTTTCTATGTCAAAAAATGATCATAAATGTAAAGAAACTAAGAAAGGGTTCATATCACATTATCACTGTATGTCCACAAACAAATTATGGTCCATAATAAAGTGTGGTTCATTATTACTCTGTAGTCCGTATAATTAGGGATGGCACCGGGGCGGGGCGGGGGAGTGGACCTCGTCCCCAAATTCAACCCCCATTCCCCGTTCCCCGACTGGGATTGGGAATTACCCCCATGGCCCCATCCCGTCCCCACAGGGATTTTTCGGGGATGAGGATTCCTTGCCCTGCAAAAGAAAAAGAAATTACTGACTGCTTCAGGTTAGGTTTTATGCTGTTTTCTGCAATAATCCATCCTTCAGTTCATTAAAGACATACTGGGAAGCAGTACTACATTCTGTTAATCATCAAGACAACAAAATTGCATCTTTTGTAGCTTTTTACTAATTTTATTTTGATGATTGTGGGGAAAGAAAAAAAAAAAAAAAAAAAAAAAAAAAAAAAAAAAACTAAATCATAAACATGTCCCCTAAAACTAGATTACCACGGTACCACCAAAACAAAACACACTCCGTAATATTTAGCATAATTATTTCAAGAAATAAAGAGAAAAGCTTGAGTGAAAGAATACCTAGCAGAGAGCCTTAAGTAGAAAATAAAGAAAAAAAGCTAGATTACCACCACGACGAAATAGACAAGCAGCGAATTGAAACCAGAGAAGCAGAGATTGGCGGACGACTGGCGGCAAGTCGGAAACGGAGGACGTGACCGTTTGACTCTTGAGGATCTGGATAACGGCTGGGAGTGAGACTAGAAAAGCAGGGATGGGTGGATGGGACATGGAGTGAGACTGTGGTCTGTGAGAAATGAAGAGATGCAGTCAGGCAGAGGCCCTTTGACTTTTTTCCTTCATAATTTTTATATCATATAAAAAAATAATTGCTTAATTATTATATATAAATAGAGTTAATTCCAGTAGAGGTCCCTTGTTTTGATGACAATTCTAAATTTAGTCTCAGATTATCATTTTTGTCATTTTACATCCCATACTATTGTTTTGTGGACACATTTAATCTTTCTCATGACTTTCTCTATTTTTAGTAAAGGTATTTTGGTATCTTCATAATTTTCTTTTGTTATTTTCAGGTTTAATTAGTTTAGAACTTTAGGTAACCTCTGATTTTTAGTAACCATATTTTCAACCTATTTTTAGTAAAGTTCTAAACCAATTAAATCGGTTGCAACTGAAAAATAATAAAAGAAAAATATGAAAAGACAAAAATGTCCTTACTAAAAATAGAAAAAGTCATACGAAGAACTAAAAGTGTCCAAAAAACAATAGTCTGGGATGTAAAATGGCAAAAACGATAGTCTGTGACTAAATTTAAAATTGTCACCAAAGATAAGAGACCTCTGGTGGAATTAACCTTATATATATATATATATATATATATATATATATATATATATATATATATATATATATATATATATATATATATATATATATATTAAGCACTAAACTGACGCAATTTAAGTACACAACACACGCATATTAAGCATACAAACAAAATACCTTCATAACACAAACACACGCACCTTAAGCACAAAACTCACGCACCTTAAGCACAAAAACACACGCATCTTAAGTTTCAACAACTACTCACATTAAGCACAAACTCACGCACTTTAAGCACAAGACTCACGCACCTTAAGCACGAGACTCACACATTTTTACCCTTAAAATAATGTTTCCATTTATTTTTTTTTCTACGATAAATTATTGCTTATATGTAGGGATGACTACAATTTGTTTGAACCAAACCGAACACTATAGCAACCGAATTGAAACAGTATAGACAGTTCTTGTTACGATTCATAACAGGAAAAATAAAATAAAATAGCATAAAATAATTGTTTAATTCAGGTTATTTTTAAAATAGAAAATAGAATTTAAATAAAATAAATTTTGAACCAGCAGTTCAAACCGAAACTGGAATTAGAATAAATGCGAATCGAAACCGTCGGTTGCTATAATGTTCTGATTTATAAATGCAAACATATTTTCAATTCACATTTATTCTGATTTCAGTTTCGATTTGAACCGCCAATTCAAAATTTATTTATTTATCTATTTTTGTAAACTTTATTTTCTATTTTAAAAATAGCCAAATTTCAACAATTATTTTATTTTATTTTTTCCCGGTTCTGAATCGTAACAAGAAGCGTCACTACTGTTTCAGTTCGGTTGCTATAGTATTCGATTCGATTCAAATCAAACTGTATTCATCGCTACATATAAGTAATAATTTGTTGGAGAAGAAAAAATAAATGAAATAATTACTTTAAGGGTAAAATTATCCATTTAACATCAAAGGAGGAAAAACTGTCACTTATAAAATAATTGAGGTGACAAAATGGATATTTGAATAACTCATGGGGGAAAGTGCTATAAGCCCATTATTATTTGAGAAATCCAGTAATCAGGAATAGGTACATAGATAAGGGTTCGTGGTCCGTCCCGTTCTCGACGAGGATGGGAAACTCCCCATCCCCGCCTACGTTTCCCGAAAAAATTCTTCATTCCTGCTGGATCGTTTTTTCCTATCAAGATTAGGTTAAATTGTCTTCCCTACGTATAATAATATACCTTTATTAAAAATATCATTGATCGTAGCTTATTATTATAATATTGTAAGTTCATTATTATAATTTACATGTATTATTCTTTATTTTATTAATAAATTTAATATTACAAAATATATTATTAAAAATATCTTATTGAGATTTTTTAAATGATACTCAATTACTCATCATACTAATAATGTATTTTGAATATTAATTGTTTATTTTTAAAAAAAAAATGAATCTTAATTGTTTATTGATATGATGGACTTGCAATATTGAACCACTTAAAAAAAAAAAAAAAAAAAAATCTCTTTCATTCTCTCTCCCATACTCTTTATTTTGCTTGCACTCGATCTATAAAGCATACACACAAATATATGCAAAACTTCTTAAGATCGAACAAATCTAAGCCACAAAACTTAATAATTAACTTGGCAAGTTCAGGTCTTCAACTACAATTAAGTACTTTGATTTTCTTCTTTAAATTAAAAAATTTTAAAAATTTATCCAACCCATATTTCAATCTCTCTCTAGACTTTTACTTGACCGGGACTAACAAAAATTTATGAAGAGATTGATGTGCCTATATTTTAATATTACCCTTAGAACTTTTATTGAATATACATATATGATATTGTACACGTAAATATATATGTTACATGAGTGAACAAGCATTAGGGTTTTCATCACTAAACATGGAGGTGAACCTCTCCGTATTTGGACTTGGGATAATAGCTTGGGGAACATTTCTCACATAACCAGATGGAGCCTTCTTGTCATAGGCTCCAGGGGCATAAGGGTATGACACCAAATCATACTTCACATATGGCCATAACTCAGCCTTTTTTCCTGTGCTTTCTACTTTCTTCAACACCTTCTTTGCCTCCACATAACCTGATACTGTTACCCTGTTTTGCTTTCTGTTTATATCCACTGATTTTGCACCTAAATTATACCATACAGGGAACAAAGATTAATTAGTCGTGAATATATATAATGATTTACATTATTTAAGATCGTATTCTATATATGTAACTTGATTTTTTTTTTTTTGTTGTTGTTGGTTTTAGTATATTATATCTTTATATATAAGTATATACTAGTGTTTTGTTATATAGTATATACATATTTGATTATTTGTGTTGTACAGAAACTTGAACAAACCTTTCATGGAAGAAACAGCGTTCCTAACCCTTCTCTCACAGCCATCACAATCCATTTTAACCCTGATGTCAACTGTCTGTACGTATTGGGAGACATATAGTTTGAAATTTAATGAGGGAAAGTATAATAATTAATAAATTGAGCAAGGGAGGGGGAGAAAGGGGGGGGGGGGGGGGGGGGGGGTTGAGAACTATGTTATCCTATGGAAAAGGGGATTTCCAAGTGCAATATGGCATAGTGCCATAAGTTCCAAAAATAATAAAATAAAAATAAACCTTCTGTTTGAATATACACATGCAAATATTTCTAGCTCGAGAAAATTAAAGCGTGTTGAGTAAATAGAAAATTTTAAAATTTTCTGAATTTTTAATAAAAAATATAAAGAAATAGAGAATATGTTCATGTTATTTTTTCTTTAAAAGTAACAATTCTCTAATAAATTATGTTTTTTAAACGAAAATTGCCAATAAATTAAACAGTATTACTTTTAGTTATTCAAGCTCTCCAGCCACGTAACAAAGTAGCTATGAACAAATATTTACATTGTAACAGAGTCAGTAATACTTAAAAAAAAGCTCACCACCAGGTTAGTTACATACTTGCTCAATGTACTGACAAAATTTTAACATGGTGGAACAAGTGGCTAAACACTCTGATGGAACTAAATGACTCGGGCTCTAAAAGGGTCAACTTAACTCGGATAAAATATAAGGGGTAAAATGGATAATTAAGTAGGATTATAGTAGTATTAGATTGATTAGAGCTAAAATATTACAAGAAGTTCATAGGAATAGAATATGATCCCGGTAATACTCATACAATGCCCTTTTATACAAAATTAGCCACGGGTTTGGGTTGAAACTATCCGTTTTGGCCCCGGAGACGGGCTTCGGGATGCCTAAACGCTGCTCGGGACCAACCACGAAGGCAGGGTCCCGTTACCCGGGCCATGGGACCCGGACACTCGTTGCCGGGTACAACCACTCGGGTAATGTCATCCGGGTTTCTTGCTTGTCTTGGCCCCCCGGGCTTCCTTTATTGAGCTTGAATCCTTCTTAGACCGGTTCCAATATCTACATCACACTCTTTATTTTATAGAGAATTAAAATCCGCAATTGTCATCCAAAGGGTTTAGTTTAGTATTGTGATACGTTAATTAATGGCATGGAATTGAAGTGTTATTTGGGCAAAATAACTGAGTAAAAAGTTTCTTATTTTATTTTTTTAAAAAAGAAAATCATAGAAAGTTTCATGATAAAAGTATTATTAATAACAAGTTAAACAAACCTGCATGAGTTTTCGCTTTTTCTTTCTTCTTCTCTTAACCTCAAACAAGTCTGATAGATGATCAAGAATACCCATTCTTCCAGCTTTCTTTAATCTGTGTGTGGGGAAGCTAGGGGAAGTTTTGTAAGGGAATTGTTAGGTGGCCTGGGGAGTTTGTGGCTTAGTTATGCATGAAATCTGTGTCTGTATATATATATATAGACGACTGAGATTGAATATGCATGTATTATTGATAAGTATGGTAAGAGATTGTCCACATGCTGTGTTTGTGGAAATTCAAATATTTTATTCAAGAAAAAGACTTGTGCCTCCTTATAATCATTCTATATAAGAACATCCATATGATGCATGACATCTGGAGAAATATGGGGCTTTACTTGCACCCTAGTTTATCAGGAGATCACTTGGAAAATGAGTTATTTATTAGTAATAATTGTTGAGTCTTACACTCCTAACCCAAAATTATATATGCCAAAGCCCAAAACACTCAACAATTTTAATTTGAAAGAAATCACCTTTTTTTTTATATATAAAATTTGTTTAATATTAGTCTTAAAAAGTGTTAAGTCTTGAGTAAAAAGAGTTTGAATGGTTTTAGTATAAGGTCATCAAGAGTTTGAACTCATAACTATACAACTTGCAACCGATACTTAGAAGGTGCACTCTAGGTGAAGCCCACATTGTGACCTTGACCAGGAATTGTATAATTATATCCCTTATAAGTATATATTATATTATTCATATTATATATTGCACAAAATCTTATTTATAGTTGACAAATACCATACACGCACTGCTGAAAATTATGAAATTTCCGACCACCTGAAAATGATCTTAAATCAAGTTGAAAGTCTTGTTCCGACCACTTTTGGTATCCGGAAAAACCTTTGTTGCTATTTCCGACTACTTTTTACTTTCGACTTGATATAAGATCACTTTCAGGTGGTCGAAAATTTCATAATTTCCAGCAGTGACGTATGATATTACATGTGAGTAGAATCATAGTCTAAACTAGTATTCTTTTTATAGAAATTTCAATATTAAGTGTATTTTTCTAATATATTAAAATTATTTATGTTTTTTTTTATTAAGAGGAAGTATGCAATATAACTTTTAGTGAATTTTGAATCATGATCAAGATTTTAGTCACCTAGCTAGATAAGTTCTTGAGGTCAACGAGGCCAAGAAACATACAATTACAAAAATTTTGATTAGGCAACTCCAACGAGGATATAAGTTGTCAACAATTAGTATATTCCTTTTGGGATTCTTAAACACATGCAAACCACATTGAGTGGAGTCCCGTATGTGCATTTTCATTATTAATTTAACTAGTAATTCACCCGCGCGATGCACGGGAAAAAATTATGTTATTATAAATATAAATAAAAAATAGAAAAAATAAAAATATGTTAAATTGTTTAATATAATAATATAAAACAAAAGAAAATGATCCTGGAAAGTGGTAGAAAAAATGGAGCCAGACATTAAGGAACTACCTTTTACAGGTAGAGATTGTGGAGTGTACTTGCCTATCTTCTCAATGCTTCAAAGAAATGGCAGAAGCGAGAAGGATGAAGAAAACAAATGCTGCGGGCCGTGAGACAATTATTGAACTTCAGAATTAAAAAAAAAAAATCATTTGAACCATAAATAAAAATTTAAATATATAAATGTATATATCGTATGGGTGTTTAATATTTTTCTAGATTTCTAAACTTAGGACTTTTAAAAGAAAAAAAAAAATCCATTTGAATTATCTCCACAAAAAGTGGTCTTGGACTTATAGAATGACATGTGGGTTTATGGAATGACATGTGCATAAAGAATATATTATATAATCCTATAAACAAATATGTTCAATTAGAGTTTAAATTTACTCCTACAAAATTTGAAATTTGCTTTCTAAATGTAATTATCTTAGTTATTATTCGTATTGTGAAAATTATAATGTAGATGACAATTAAGAATAAATCAGTGTAATTATGTAAATTCTCTTATAAGTTTATTTGAATATGTACATAATTAGAGATTATATTAACCATACAAAATTTTAATTTTATTTGTAATTTTGTGTTCTATAAAAATAATAAATATTTGACCGATGGAAGCTCAAAAATATTATTATATTAAACAATTTAAAATATTTTTATTTTTTCTATTTTTTATTTATATTTATAATAACATAATAATTATAATATTAATTACTTCCCAAACCATATAACTTTATTATAGTTAAGATGTGTTGGGCGGAGGCTTAGAGGGATAATTTCAACATATATAATGTCATCTTAACCCGATATTCACTGTTACAAAAATATAAAGAATTAAAGACATAATTGAAATTGTAATTATTATACATTAGTAGCTAGTTTTATTAAACATATTTATATTGAATACAAAAACACATACAAATTAAAGGACTAGTATATAGCTAATGACCATATTTGGTAACATAGTTAGCTTATTAGTCAATTTTGACTTATTTAATCACTATTGTTGAGCATATAACCATTAATGTGCAATCCAACTATTAACTTAGGTTTTTAGTTGGGATGGAGTACATGCTTCAATTACTGTTTGACTTGGTTAAACAATCAATATTAGTGTTTGATTACCCCAAAATGTTAAAATTCAAAATGTTGCTCAAACCAGTTTTTTGAGAAAGTCATTTTGCATGTAATCAGTTATCAACTAATTTACCAAACACTTTTCTACAATCAGTACAACTAATATTATCAACTAATCAAACTCACTAACTTAATCAACTAACAGCTATTTACTAAACATCTCAATATCTAAATCTAAGAAGGTCCATAGACACACGCATGCAGCTTGCTGCTATGAGTAATTTAAATACGAAAAGATATAGAAGGCAATTAAGGTTTGATGTGAAGTCACATAATCATATCATTTACTCTTTTGCATGAGCTTTCACTATCAATTGCCCAACCACACTACTTCTGGCCAGTCGGCATGCATGACATCAATTAAGCATTCCCACTATACGGAGTAATGTTTAGGGAATTTCTCTATAATCGCATTTATTATACCACTAATCATCTTAGAAAAAGAATATATATTAATGAGTATTATTGTCATAGGTAAATTGTCTTACCACATACGGCAAGAAAGGGGTATCACACCATCCACTCGAATATCAATTATATTGTCACACCCCATGATACTAGTGTTGAGCGGCAGCTTGGAGACCCGATAGATTTCAACATCCTGTCATCAAAACGTGACATTAACTGCTATATAAGTATAAGAAAATAAAGTTACGTATTCACTACCAACTATAACTTTTGGCATAATGATAAGTGTTTGATTTGAGAATTAGTATCAGAGTAAATCACGAAGCTAGTAGGTGGGGAGGGGATTGGTTCTAATTATTTATAAATTCTTTCAAATTTTTTGAACAAGTGATTGAAGTATAATATTCAAAATTTCAAACTCAAACAAAGTGCCATTTATCTATTATTTTTATGCCTTATAATTATATGTTTCAAGAAAATATTCATTCTTGTTGAATATTATTGTATTTTAATACTAACTTTTTAATAAATATTATCTTCTTTTTATATTTAAAATTATGTAAAAAAGATGATTCAATTTAAATTATTACACATGACTCTTTTTTAAAAGTATTACACATGACTCTTGTTCACCTACCCTAACAATCATGATAATTTTTTAAATAAAGTTAAATATGTAACGAGAATTTTATATTATCCACTAAAAAACTTTTATTATTTTTTAGTGGCTAAACTCCATCTTACATGCACGGGATTGCAGCTTGGGATTGGGATTTACATGCATTTGATTGTTGTTGGTGGGCAATATATCCATCCTTAATCAAGATATTATTATTTCCTATAATACAAAGACCATTAAATTTATTCTCAATCGAATGGGTTAAATCTTAAATTAATGGCATACATCAATCATATCTTGTCTGCAACTTTTATTAGAAACAAACAAAGAACATTATAAATGCTTTATTATAATATATGACTTATGAGAATGCATGTGCAGTGGTACATTTCAATTGCCCAATTAATGTCTAAATTGAACAAATTTCAATCAGTAAGGATAGCAAGCAATTTTGTTTCTTACATAGTCGAGGCTTAAACCTGAGACTTCTAGTTAAATTGGAATAGACTCCACAAAATTTCATCCACACCCATATAGGTATAAAGTACAATAAGTTCAATTTCTCTATTATTTACATCTTCATTTTTAAGCTTTCAATTGACACTGAAGTGATCTTTTGTCTCTTACATCATATAAGTAATCTACAACAGAATTAAAATAAAAAGACTATTTAGAATAACTAGTAGAAAGGTGTTTAAATTCAAGAAAACTCCAAATTATAAGTTATTCAAAGTATATCCTTTTAATATAAAGAGACAAACAGCATCATCAAATATAATTTTTTTCATTATGCTGATTTAGTTTCCAAGCTTTATAAGAAAATATTGAAATACCTACTAATTTAATACATATAAATTTCATTATTTTACCTATAAATTATTTTATCAGCAAATTTTCATGCCCCGACCCAACAAAGCATCTGAGAGCATGTAAATCATGGTAACTCATCTGAATACATGTAGAAGCTAGACCTTTGCTTATTGCAGACAAAGAGCCCCTCACTTTGAGAGGTTGCTCTCACACTGCTGTTGGTGAGACTTCATCTCGGATCATTAGTCTCAAACTTTTTCTATGTGACTAACTGAGATGTCCAAACAGGCTACTAGCAATTGTTGTCATGGGGACAATTGGTTGGATGAGTAGCAAGCAAAATATTAGTTTCAAGTGGCGATCAATGAATTAATGGAGCCCATATTTTCCATTATTTGGAAAGAAATGACAGCTGCTCAATTTTTAATAGCTCCCCTAGGCCTTCATCATTTCCCTCAAGACTTCTTAGCTTCCACCTTGAATGCATGGAGATTGTGACATGACCTAAATAGTTAGGGTTTCCCATTCAATAATTTAAACATTTTCTCCCATTCATATGCCAATGTGTGATGAGTTAGATATACACAACATTTTTTATTGAATAACTTCAAATAATTTCATGATTGCACAATATATGTGTTGGCCAAATTTGTTGTGCCACATGAGTTACCCAAGTTATAAGTTAACAATATTATTTGTGTGGGGTATACGCATTG